TTGTTACCCAGGCTGGAGTGCAATGGCACGATCTCGGCTCACAGCAACCTCTGCCTGCTGGGTTCAAGCAATTCTCCTGCCTCAGCCTCCCGAGTAGCTGGGACTACAGGCACGTGCCACCAATCCCAGCTAATTTTTTGTATTTTTAGTAAAGACGGAGTTTCACCATGTTGACCAGGATGGTCTTGATCTCTTGACCTCGTGATCCACCTGCCTCAGTCTCCCAAAGTGCTGGGATTATAGGTGTGAGCCACCGCGCTGGCCTAAGCTTTACTTTCTAAAGCTGTGTAGAGATTCACTTTAAGACAGATTAAATATTTGCTTTGTGGACATAAAATATCAAATAACATTTAAGTATAAATAGGTATCTGTACCCGAGTTTAATTTTTAAATTCAATTATACAATGTTCAGGTCGGTGATTGGTTTTCTTAGTCAACCATTATTAAAACTATTTTTCCGTGGAGAAATTGATGAGAATATATAAGCTATCTTTCTCAGAGTGTGAATCTGAACAAACATAAATTAATGTAATCTAATTTTTCAATAGCGCAATGGTAATGAAGACAAGCACAACCACAAATAGGCAGTAACCGTGGATTATGAAGTAGCTATTATCATGTTTAGTGTTGAACTTGCATAGCATTTTATGCAAGATTATTAAAGAGATACTGAAGGCATTTAGAGTATTCCTTTCAGTCCTTTCCTCTACACTTGACATTTGGTAATTTTAGACTTTCAGGATATAATTTTTTTTTTCTAAGAATTTTCAATGCTGAGAAGAGAGAAAATTTATCATCTTAAACATAAACTGGGCTATAAATTTTGACAGATGATAAATTAGAATTAATTTATTGATTCCTTTTTATTACTTATCAGTAGAAGTGATATCACTCTGACAACGCTGAGGAAATCCATTTCAGATTTCCAGTTTTTCTCTATACCAGGTTGTTTCTGATTCTTATTCTTTTTGTGCTTCTTCCTTGATCTGCTTCTTATGGTTTGCCTCTACATAATAGCTCAGGTAAAAGGCATTAGAAGGTGGTCACTGATCAGGATTAGTGATTGGCTTAGGGAAGAAGAAGTTGTAAGACAGAGTACTTCAGGGGAAAACATGGGAAACATATATAAAGAAAAACCGTCAACTATTTTCTTTCTAGCTGTAATTTAATTAGTTATAGTCTTTCGGTTCCATCTTACATGGTCAATTTCAAAAAGAAGGTTGATAACACTGTACTCTCTATGCTTTTTTTTTTTTTTTTTTTTTTTGTATCCAAATACTACAATCTGTTAAGTGTTTGGGGAAAAAAAAATGAGAAAGATAAAAGCAGAGAAAGAGATTGAGGCAACCAGGATAGGATAGATTAAGCTGTGGTGGTAAATAGCCCCCAAATTTTAGTGGTTTAAACAAAAAAGATTTGGGGGTAGTTGTTGTTAACACCAATTGTCCATCAAAAATTGGGGAAGGCCTTTTCCCATCTTATCTTTGTTCAGCAATCCAGTCTGCATTATCCAGAGAGAAATAAGGTAAATCGTACCCCAGCTCTTAAATGCTTCTGTTCACATTTCATTGGTCAAGACAACTCATTTGGTCACGTCTAATTTTAAGGGACAAAGTTCCTGCATCCCTAGAAAGATAACTAAAATTCTTAGTGAAAATTTAATACCTATCATAGCTTTTTTTTTTTCAAATAGGAACACAAGATTGCATATGAAAATACAAATATAAGGTCAAATAGATTAATAGATTGACAGATTGATGGATTTGGGTTGGAGATTATTTAAGGTTTACATCTAATACTGGGGACTGCACCTGTTGTGGCAACAGTTTCTAGTAGCAGATTTGAAAAGTGTGTGCTTTATTTCTCTATAGAGTGAAAAATCAAAAAATAAAACAAAACTACAAGGAGATTTGAGAGGTTAACTTGAAGAGTTAATCATGCTATCAATGTATTTCAGTAACTGTCTTTTGCTGAAAAATATACTTGTAGGGTATTTTTTGTGTTAAATCAAAGATATATAAATAATATAAATTAAAATATAAATATGCGTCAACAGAGCTTGCATAGACATAGCAATTGAACAATTCTCTTATTTAATATACAGAGGTTTGCCAGCCTTTCAGCAGTGTAAACATTATTTTTTAATATTTCTATTACTACTACATAAATTTACTAACACATTTCTACAATATTAAAGGAATTGTTCTTTAGAGATACATAATTATTTTACCTTTACTTTGGTAAACATTAAGTTTTATGTTTACCTTCAACCCAAGGATCTTATAATATGAAGAAAAAGTTGTATAGTTTTAGAAAAAATAGATCTAGACTGAATAAAGTTAATAAAATGTTCCAAAAACTATACCTACAAAATAAATAATGTTCCGAGTTTTAGGATCATGTTTTTTTACATTGATCCACATCTGAATAATGAAGTCACAGATTTGAGACAGTAAAAATGCATTCTTCATCAAATCTTATTCACTTACTATTTCTTGCAAAAAACAAAAATTATGATAATTATCTTAGATTTCCAAAGAGAAAAGCAACAATGAAAAGTAAAAACATCTTCACACCGGTTTCCAGAATTCATTATCCATATGTTTAAACACACACACACACACACACACACACACACACACACACACACACACACACACATACTATTTACCCATTCAGAGTAAACTTTAAGCAGTGACCACTTCTTGGTAATCACATCTATGTTTATTTCAACAAAGCAATCCAAAAAACATTTGATGTTTTTGTAGCAGGCATTTCAAAATCAATCAATTTGACCAGGAGAAAAGCCTCTCTGACCAAACAAGGATTCTGAATCTTTAATTTGATAGTCGCTCTGTCATGTGTGTTAGATAATTAATGTTAACAACACAGATTTCTAGGCTTTCAAGTCTTTCGTAATGCTGAAGGGATCCACTTTTTATTCTGTAAACTTCCCTCCCCCTTTACTGACTGTAATATTTTGAAATACAGTACTTTCTTCAGAGCATCTGGCATAAATCTCCATCAGACACGAAGAAGGAGGGGCAAATTCTATAGTCTGCATGAGAACAGCCTGACAGCTGCCAGTTTAATCCCTTGACAATGCAAAAATTTCTTCAAGGAGGGAATCCCACTTAACACGCAAACAGAGAGGCTCAATACTTTTGGTCCTATTCCATATTAGTGATATTAATTAGAATGTAACAAAACAGTATTTTTTTTTATGGAAAAGCAGTTAAAATTATAGAAAATGAATTTTCTTATGTCAGCTTCTAGATTTACATAGTAAGTTTGAAATTGCATTGCGTATTTACGGAAGTCAGTGTCTGACATACAGATGATTTTGAAAACACTGTAGTGTAATTGTTTGCTAAAAAACTTGAGGAATTTTTTACTTGGATCCCAGGATGTAGGTTGGACATGGGAAACAACAGAGATGTCGTGGATGGACATAAATAATTTTTATGTTTATACATTTGTGTTTTTATTTATTTTTTGTCCTCGAAGTGCCCAATAGTGTTCATCAGATGATCCTTATCATCGGGGTTGTGATCTGGTTCATCGTTGTGATGCCAGACAGAACTGCATTTACTAGAAACTTTCTATGCCTGCCTCCTGAAAAGTTTTAGCTATTTGACCTCGTATGGCATATTCCGTGACTCTAGTCGTTTTTAGTAACGCATTCCAGCAGTTCACAAGCCTTAGAGCTATAAAGAAATGCTACTAAATGGAAACTCAAAGAGAGAAAGGCAAACACTGTTTCCCATTTATTATTTATATTCTCTGGTATTCATTCCAAAACGGGCTGAATTATTTCACTCCCTCCTGTGGTCAGCACCCCTCCTTGCATTGACCGTCATCTAAATTAGTGATGAGTCTGATCTGAAATTACTCTAATGAGTCTATTCTTTTTCGTTTGTTGAAAAAAAAAATTCCTGGAAAAGTTGATCATTTCTAGCTCCTTCTTTGTACTTCTAATCTGTAAAATTGAGTTGTAGTTATGTCTCAGTTTAACCTATGACAACAGAAACAGCCTGGGGACAATTCAAATTTCGTTAAAATCTCTATCGAAAGGAATCCTTTAATTATAAGTCCTATTCTTTTTTTACATCCTGCTCAGAATGTTTCAGAGTAACAAAGGCTAACACATATGTTATTACCATCATCAGGGACTCTTCTATGCTCTGCAAATATTAATTCATTTTGTTAAGAACCTTGAGCTCCTTCTCAGATTTCCCTGATGGCCTGTTCTTGCTGTGAGAGCCCTACTGCACTGGGTCTTCTATTCACTCTCAGATTCTGATGAACCTCTCTGCAAGGTTTCTTGAGAAAACACCAAAGCCTGGATGACCACATGGATTTGCAAGAGAGCTGTGGCTACATTGGAGTGAACTTTGACCAATAGGAACCTTGACCAATGAGAGACTGAGTCATGAAGATAACTTCCCTCTTCCTTCTCCTTTCCTGCCTATTACTCCAATCCTTCCAGGTACTGGCATGCACAGAGAGAACAAGCTTGCCAAGAGATCTTTTGCATCTAGGTGACTTGCTGTTAAATCGTGCCAAGGTTGATAAACATCACATAATTTTACCTCTTTTGTTACCTCAGTTTCCTTTTCCTTTACCTCTTACCATCCTGGCTAGAATCACTAAAATAAAGGATTCTGTCCTTAAATCTTGCCTTTTGCTTTCCTTTCTAAGAATAAGGTGCTTATATAATCTTTAGAAAAAAAATCCTACATGGTAGGTGTTACAGTTTCACCCATTGTAGAGACAAGAAAATGGAAACATAATAAAATAAAGTAACTTAATAGAAATTAACATAGATAGTCAACAGCAGAACATAATATCAGTTTGAGTCCAGAGTATATGCTCTTTTTTCTTCTTTTTCTTCTTTTTTTTTTTTTTCAGTCTCTGTGGAGACTGTCAAAAATTGCCAATACCGACTATATTGCAAGTCGTCTCGGCGGGATATTAGGAAAAATTTTCAATTAGCAATAATCGCGCTTTGGATAAACCTCGTGGCTGCGATACTACTACTGTGCAAAGCTAGTATATGCACTTAAACCAGCACAGTATGATGGTCTGGATCAGGAAGCCAGCCTGGAGTCAAACCTTTATGACAGCTTCGACTCCACAGTCACAAAGAATGTTTTGGTAAGAGCATGAGGGTAGAATTCTTACTACTGTCATGGCCAGAATCTTTTCAGGAAGCAAGGTGAGTAAATATATTCTGGGTTACTGTATTCTTCTGAACAAACCTCTGGAAGAAATCCTACATACATCTGTATATTGCCTCGATAACTTAGGGCAAAATATGCTGTAACTTTAAATAGTAAATCCATCCACAATGGAGGACTAAACATTTGTTGGTGATTGTTCCCATCCTTTTTTTACTATATATCTTTTTATACTTAAACTTCCCTTTTAAAAATCAAACCTAATAAATCCTCAAGCTAACATACTAGTGGATTCCCATTAACCAAACCTAAAAAGCAGTTATCATAATAAAATTATAAAGCATGGAAATGGATACTTGATTGTGAAAGTATAAAATTAATATTTGCTTACTGTGGTTTACAACTTGAAATGTCAACATTAAAACGTTGGGAAATCTAAGCATTTGTTCCTAATAATATTTTCTCACTCATATACAATAATAAATTTGACAACCTACTTATTAATGTAGAATGGACCATGGTCCACCTCAAGTACATGTAAACCATTCCATTCATTCCAAAAAATTAATTATAGTTCCTTCAGGAAATTGTAAGGGAGTCTCAAAACCAAGTTGCATTTTTTTTAGTTCAAACTCCATACTCCATGCTCTTCAGACCCATAAGCTAAATATTATTCTTTGAATCCTCAACCCTCTACTTTCCACATTCAGAACATCAGATTTTTACCAGTTTTCTTTATAATATTTTCTCAATTTTAATATTTTTTTCCATTCTTGTACCTTCAAAGCTGCACACACAGTATTTTCTGGTTATAATTCAACCAATATGTCCCTGTACATTGTGGAAACTGTACGACAGTTTAGGGAGAAGCATTTCCATGAATTACAGGCTGCATTACATCACTCCCCCTCAGTTGTGATGCAATTCGCATTCCTCTACAATCACAATTCTCCATTTGATCAAGAACATCTCTTCACACCCAACCGGCTTAATCAAATTTTTAAATTGTTTTTGCATGGTCTCCATTCTATTTAAAATGCTATGCTTCTGTTGATCTTCAGTATCTATCATCCAAATCCTTAAATAAAAAGTGAAATTTGCAGACCGAATAATGCCATTGTTACATTTATTTGAGTGTTTCATTTTGGAATGTAATTTTGGGTTTTCTTTACTATACTTTAAGAAAAAATCCTACCAAATTATATAAGCACAATGTATTAATATTAGACATTAATATATAAGCACAATGTATTATTAGGATTGTAGGTATACTTTAAAAAATCCTACCAAATTATAATAAGCTCATGTATTAACATTAGACAGGATTCTCTAATGAAACAGAACTAATAGCATGTGTGTGTGTGAGAGTGTGTGTGTGTGTGTGTGTGTGTGTGTGTGTGTGTAGACAAAGGGAGTCAGAGATTGACAATTTAGCATTGGCATACTGTATTTATTGAAGATATTACACTTCTAACAAATTGAAGATTTGTGGCAATCCTACATCAAGCTAGTATATCAGCACAATTTTTTTCGGCATCGTGTTCTCACTTCATATCTCCGTATCATATATTAATAAGTCTTGCAATATTTCAAAATTTCTCATTATTATTTTTATATCTTTTAATATCACTTGGGAATTGTCCCCTCCAAATCTCAAATTGAACTTGGATCCCTAATGTTGGAGATGTGGCCTAGAAGGAGGTGTTCGCGTTCTGAGCACAGATCCTTCATGAATGGCTTGGTGCCTTAATGAGTGAGTTCTCACTCTATTACTTCACATAAGAGCTGGCTGTCTAAAAAGATCTAACACCCCTCTGCTCTTGCTCCCTCTCTCACCATGTGATACACCTGCTCTCCCTTCGTTTTCTGCCATGATTAGAAGCTTCCTGAGGTCTGCACAAGAAGGAGATGCTGGTGCCATGCTTCTTCTACAGCCTGCAGGTCCATGAGCCAAATAAAACTCTTACCTTCATAAATAATCCGGCTTTAATTATTCCTTTATAGTAACATGAAACAAAAATATATTTTGTGGTGATCTGTGAGCAATGACCTTTGATGTTAGTATTGTAATTGTTTGGGGGTACCACAGATCACAACCATACAAGAGGGTAAACTGAATGAATAAATATGTATGTTTGGACGGCTTCATCAACTGGCCATTGCTCTGTCTCTCTCCCTCTCCTTGGGCCTTCCTATTCTCTGAGACACACAATATTGGAATTAGGTCAAGAATGGCCTCTAAATGATGAAGAGTCACAAAACTCTCACTTTAAATTAAAAAACTGAGATTATTAAACTTAATGAGGAATTATGTCAAAAGCAGAGACAGGCCAAAAGCTAGGCCTCTTATAGCAAACAGCCAAGTTGTAAATATGAAGGAAAAGTTTTTCAAGGAAATTAAAAGCGATAAACATGAATGATAAGAAAGCAAAGCAGCCTTATTGCTGATATGGAGAAAGATGTGGTGATTTGCATAGGTCAATGATGCCACAACATTCTCTTGAGCCAAAGCCTAATTCAGAGCAAAGTCCTAACTCTCTTCAATTCTATGTAGTCTGACAGAGGTGAGGAAACTGCAGAAGAATAGTTTGAAGCTAGCAGAAGTTGATTAATGAGGTTTGAGGAAACAAGTCATCTCCAGAACTTAAAAGTGAAAAACAAAGCCTCATACTTACCTGGCAGGGGAGATACCATGATCACGAAGGTGGTTTTCCCAGGGCAAGGCTTATTCATTGCACTCCGGGTGTTTTGACCCCTGCAATTTCCCCAAATGTGGGAAACTTGACTGCATAATTTGTGGTAGTGGGGGACTGTGTTTGCGCTTTCCCCTGGTATTAAATTTAAAAAAATAAAATAAAAATAAAGAAAAACGAAGCAACAATTGCTGATGAAAAGCTGCAGCCAGTTATCTAGAATATCTAGCTAAGATCATTGACAAAGGTGGCTACATTAGCAAGAGTTCCAATGCAGGTGAAATGGCCTACTGCTGGAAGAAGATGTCATCTGGGACTTTAATAGCTAGAGAGGAAAAGGTGTGGCCTGGCTTCAAAGCTTTAAAAGACATGCTGACTCTCTTGCTAGGGGCTAATGCAGCTGGAAACTTTTAAGTTGAAGCCAATGCTCATTTACCATTCTGAAAGTCATAAGGCCTTTAAGAATCATGCTAAATCTACTCTGCCTGTTCTCTATAAATGAAACTACAAAGGTTGGATGACAGTATATCTGTTTATAGCATGGTTTGCTGAATATGAATATTTTAAGCCTACCATTGAGATCTACTGCTGAGAA